CGGTGACGGAGGGCGCCGTGGAGGTGAAGGTGGCCGGGCGCTGGCGGCCGGTGTGCGGCGCCGGCTGGACGCGCAACAACAGCCGCGTGCTGTGCGGCATGCTGGGCTTCCCCCGCGAGGTGCCGCGCGGCGACAGCCTCTCCAGGTGGGACGCACTGCTGGCCCGGGCGTGCCGTGGGGCGGGGGACGTGGGGACAGGCCATGGGGCAGGTCACTGCACCACCACAGTCAGCGGGGGGGGGGAGTGGGTAGGGGACACCTCTGGCTGTGCACATGGGGCACCAGGACATCGTGGGGCCCTGGATGTCAGGTCCACATCTGGTTCCCCTTCTTGGGACGCCGAAGCCTCAGTGAAGGGCAGCGCTTGGCACTACAGCAGGGAGCGGGCATTAGGTCACCAACCTCCATTGCCTGCCAAACGTGCACGGAGGCGCAGGAGACCCGAGCAGCCGTGTCCTGTGCCAGGACTGTAAATGCTGCCTGTACTGAGCTCCGGTTGGGGCCAGAAGCTGCAGTGCTGCCCGGGCACACCTGGGCTGGGGTGCATTAATGCTCTGCGGAGCAGCCCTCTCCCCACACACGTGGCAGTCCCATGGGGGGAGGCCCAGCCACGAGCCCCACTGGCAGTGCAGGCGCCGCAAGGGCTGGGGCGCAGGGGGGCAGCAGGGCGGCACAGGGCCCCCTGACACCCTCTCTCCCCGCCACAGGAAGCTCTGGAACAGGAAGCTGCAGGACCCCGGCTCCAGGTAGGGCTCCCCAGGCGGCAGCCTTGGGGTGAAGTCCGCGGTGCCCCCGGTGACAGCAGTGTCCTGGCAGCCTGAGCAACGTGAGCGGGCAGCAGCCCTGGTGGGAGCAGCGGGTGCAGTGCCGCGGCTCGGAGCCCCACCTGTCCCGCTGCGCCGCGCGCCCGGCACTGCCCGCCTGCCCCCGCGGCGCCGTGCCCGCCGTCGTGCGCTGCGCGCCCGGCCCCGCCGCCGCGCCGCCCCGCAGGAGCCCCCCGGAGAAGGTGGGTCCCACCGCGGCCCCGTGTCCCCCCCGTGTGGCACCCCATGCACTCACGGGTGGCTCCCTGCAGCAGGGCCTGCGCGTGCGCCTGCGCGCCGGCACCCACGCCGCCGAGGGCCGCGTGGAGGTGCTGCGCCACGGGCAGTGGGGCACCGTGTGCGACAAGCAGTGGGACCTGCTGGCGGCCAGCGTGGTGTGCCGGCAGCTGGGCTACGGCTCTGCCAAGCAGGCGCTGGCGGGCGCGCGCATGGGCCAAGGTGAGGCGCGGGCACCGCAGGGACCCCCTGTTCACCGGGTGCTGCTGGAATGGAGCCCTGGCAGCCCCGGCCCTRGGGAAAAGGGGCTGCTGCCCCACGGAGCGGCGGTGACGCTGTCCCTGCCGCAGGCCTGGGGCCCATCCACATGAGCGAGGTGCRCTGCGGCGGCCACGAGCGCTCCCTGGGCGAGTGCCGCTTCCGCGAGGCCGAGCACAGCGGCTGCGGGCACGAGCACGACGCCGCCGTCCGCTGCCACGTGCCCCGCACGGACTTGCAGAGCCAGGTGAGCCCTGCACGGCTGCCAAGCCCCGTGGGCACTTGTAGGGCTGYGGGGTGGCCTTGGGCACAGAGGACACGTGGGGCAGCACAAGCCAAGGTCATGGCAGTGCTGAAGGCTGAGGTGGAGCTGATTTGGGGAGGAAAGTGGGGCTGTTCAGCCGGGTGCGCACTGGGGCCTGCCCCACACGCGGCCTCTGTCGCAGGTGCGGCTGGYGGGGGGCCGCAGCCCCGAGGAGGGYGTCGTGGAGGTGCTGGTGGCCGAGCGGGGCACGTACAAGTGGGGCGCCGTGTGCGGCGCCCAGTGGGGGCTCAACGAGGCCATGGTGGTGTGCAGGCAGCTGGGGCTGGGCTTCGCCAGCCATGCCCTCCAGGTGAGCGCGCGGTGCTGCGGGGATGGGGACGGGTGCTGGGGGACACTGAGCGCCGCTGCCCACGCAGGAGACGTGGTACTGGGCCGGCAGCGCCGACGCCGCCGAGGTGGTGATGAGCGGCGTGCGCTGCGTGGGCACCGAGCCGGCRCTGCAGCAGTGCCAGCGCCATGGCCCCGTGCACTGCCCCAGCGGCGGCGGGCGCTTCTCGGCCGGCGTCGCCTGCACCCGCCGTGAGTACCCGGGCAGGACCTAGGTCCCTCTCCCGGGACACGTGCCCAGGGACAGAGCAGGGTGCTCCCTAGGAGCACGGGGGTGCTGCACGAGCGCCCRCCCCGTCCCAGCGCGCCCTGCCCGTGCCAGACGCCCCGGACCTGGTGATGAACGCGCAGCTGGTGCAGGAGACGGCCTACCTGGAGGACCGGCCGCTGGCGCTGCTCTACTGCGCCCACGAGGAGCACTGCCTGTCCCRCTCGGCCGAGCGCATGCACTGGCCCCACGGCCACCGGCGCCTGCTCCGCTTCTCCTCGCAGATCCACAACCTGGGCACGGCCGACTTCCGACCGCGCATGGGGCGGCACGCCTGGACCTGGCACCAGTGCCACCGGTGAGCGCGGGGGCTGCTGGCACCGCCACAGTGCTGCCGCTGCAGAGCCCAGCCCGCCCAGCGTAATGAGCGCCGGCGGCCCCGCCACTGTCATTACGGCTTTATTTGGAGCCAGGGCTGTAATTTGCCGGGGCCACTAGGTGCTGCCTGTCCCCGGCCGGGCACTCACCCCGTGCAGGCGGCCAGCGCCGGCTCAGCCCTCTGTCCCCACAGGCACTTCCACAGCATCGAGGTCTTCACGCACTACGACCTGCTGACGCTCAACGGCTCCAAGGTGGCCGAGGGCCACAAGGCCAGCTTCTGCCTGGAGGACACCAACTGCCCCGAGGGTGGGTGCAAGGGGGCCAAGGCGGCTCCAGCCCCGCGGTGCAGCTTGGCAAGGCCTCGTGTCCCCTGTGTCCCCTGGCAGGGCTGCAGCGGCGCTTCGCCTGCGCCAACTTCGGTGAGCAGGGCGTGAGCGTGGGCTGCTGGGACACCTACCGGCACGACATCGACTGCCAGTGGGTCGACATCACCGACGTGCCGCCCGGCAGCTACACCTTCCAGGTACGGGGTGCCCYGCGGGCACTGCACACGGGATGCCGCAGGACACCCCATGTCACCCACTGGCCACCTGGGCCAGCTCATCCTGCACCCGGTGCCAATGCCCTGCCAGCTGCAGACTGTCTGGGTGCCCACGGCCGCTGTGTCATTGTCCCCAGGTGGTGGTGAACCCCACGCATGAGGTGGCCGAGTCGGACTTCTCCAACAACGTGATGCGGTGCCAGTGCAAGTACGACGGGCAGCGTGTGTGGATGCACGGCTGCCACACCAGTAAGCGGGGCAGGGAACGGGGGCCCATGGCAGCGGGCAGCCTGTGCGGGGCCGGGGGAGCAGTGGGTGCTGGAACGGGCAGGGCTGGGGGTGCCGCTGGCCCCGTCTACCCCTCACATGGCCGCTCTCCCAGGCGATGCCTACGGYGCCGACGTGGTCAGCGAGCTGGAGCGGCGGGAGCGCCTGGCCAACAACCTCGTGTGAGCGGCACAGCGGAGCTCCACGGGGGCTGCACGGCGCCCGCCTCGGCCTGCCACGGTCCCGGGCACCGCCGCAGCACCGCGCCACGCTCAGGGACTCGGAGCGCTTGTGTTTATGGCTCCTGCTGCCCAGGACGGCGGTTGCACTGTCCACATGGGCACGGTGCCCCCCACCTCCGGGTGCCCCCCAGGACATCTACCTCAGCGTGCTGCCCCCGGTGAAGGTGCTGCGCCGGGCGCCGCTGCCGCCGCTGCGGTGAGGGCAGCAGCCCTGCCAGGGCAGCCTGTCCCCGACCCCGCTCACCCGGCGGCTCCGCGGTGGCGGCGCCGGGCCGGCAGCCAGCCCGTGGCCACCGCGGCCGCAGCGCTGGCCATCCCCGCCCCGGCTGCTGGACAGGGCGGCTCTGCCCCCGGCAGCCCCTGCGCCCGCGGTGCCAGCAGCAAGGGCAGCCGACACAGGGCACTCGGGGCACCCAGCACAGCTAAGGGGCTTGGATCTGCCCCCCCTTTTCCTCGCTGCCCTCCAGCATCCTGCCCCCTCCCCAGCTCTARTCCCAAGGCCAAGTGCTCCACTCTGCCTACCTGCATCCCCAGCCCCATTGCCGCCCTGTCCCCTCACACAGCCAGGCCCCTAGCCCCACTGTGAGCAGCCCCACGGAGCTGGGACCGCCCGGGCTATGTCCCCACGAGCCAGCTCTGGCACATGGAGGACACACAGGGGATAGCCGCTCCGAGCGCGGGGCAAGGCGGCCCCTGGGCAGCATGCGTGGCGAGGCGCRTGCAGCTGGGACTGGGGAAGCCACGAGAGTCCAGCTCTCCCCCAACCTTGCAGGGCTCTGCCTGCTGCCGGCAGGGCCCAAGGGCTGGCAAGATGCTTTCGGCAGGAGAGCAGCATCGCTGCCTCCAGCTGGGCTCCCGACGGACGCATTCCAGCCACGGGGTGACCTGGACACCACAGCGCACGGTGGGGCTCGCAGGGGAGGCTGCATGGGCCGTGTGCGGGTATGAGGCTGGGGAAGCTCCCGGCCTCGGCCCGCTGCCCTCAGCACARGGGCCCCCGCGCAGCCTCCAGCCCTGCCCGTGTCTGCAGGCAGGGCCAGCCCGGCCCGCCTTGGGGCAAGTGCCCTCTGCGCTGGGAGGAGAGGCTTCTGCCCCCTGGCACGGAGCTGCGCAGCCCCAGGCAACACAAAATAAACRGGATTTATTAACAAAATAGAAGTACAGTGACTCTCGCTCACCAAGCCCTCSAGGACGCGTAGCCCGGTGCACACACAGCAGAGCCCCTGTGTGGCGGCTCTGCCCCAGCTGCTGCAGGCAACGCCGGGACTTTGCMCTGGGCACAGGCAGCAGCTCAGTGCCACGCTGCCCACCGGCGACACTCGCGCAGAGCAGGGCGGCCACGAGCGCCCTGCTCGGCCCCGGGACCGGCCACGCGCCGGCCCCATCCTGCCTCGCTGCAGCGACGCGTGCGCGGAGCCCGCAGGGCGCCGGCAGGACCCGCACCCAGCGCCATGGGGCAGGGTGTCCGGCCCACGGCCACCAAGGGGCTGAGCCCCCAGCAGCGCTGCCAGCCTCACTCCCGGCCTTCCCAGGCATCTTCCCGCTGCTTGTTCTCCAGGCGCTTCCTCTCTGCGGAGCCAAGAGAGCCGGGATAAAGCCCAAGTGAGCAGGATTCCCCAGAGCACGGAGCGCTCCTTGGGAGCCCCGCTGCCTCCTGCGCGCAGGAGCTCACCCCGGGCCTCCTGCAGCTTCTTGCGCTCGGCCTCCCGCTGGGCCCTCGTCTGGTTGCTGCGAACGCCCAGGGCACCGATCACCAGCCTCCGCGCCAGGGCTGCCGACGTCTCCGGGCGCTCCTTGGCAGGCTGCAGGAAGTCTGGGGAGAGCGCAGGGCGGCCTCAGCACAGGGCAGTGCCGGCAAGGGGGAGCGATCCCTGCTCCCAAGGAGATCCCAGGCATGCCAGGCAGAGCAGCAGGGGGAAATGGGGCAGCATTGGGTGCTGCCCACCCACTCACCGGCGTATGCCCTGGCCTTGGCCTTGGCCGCYCTGGTGCCCTGGGACAGCGGGCGAGTCTTCACCATGAGGTGCTTGGTGCTGAGGGCATCGCGTGCTGCATGGAGAGAGCAGGGCATGGCCGGGGGGTCCTGCCAGGGACCCGGGGTGGGTCCCAGACACGCCTCCCTTCCTCTGGCACTGCACCAGCCCCCCAAGCCCCTCCTGCACCACGTGCCCCCAGGCTGCTCCTTCGCCTACCAGCGACGGGGCTGGAGAAGATGCCCAGGGCGTGCGTATCATCCACCCACTTAATGTCGAAGCCCTTCTTCCTGCGGAGACACAGCGAGGAGCTGAGCGGCGCGGGGCGCTGCGGGGCCGGGGCCCTGCTCGCAGACTCACTGGTAGCTGCAGAAGACGCGCAGCAGGTCCTCGGTGCGGAAGTCCGGCGGGAAGTCGTAGATCTCGATGACGTGGGGCAGCTCGTCGTCGCTGAGGTCCGGCGCGGCCGCCTCGGCCCCGTAGTAGTTGAAACGTGGCTCCTGGAGGCTCTCGCGGCGCTCCGAGCCCCCCGAGAGCTGCGTGGGGGACAGGCAGTGAGGCCCCCGCGCCGGCACCGAGCCAGCAGACTGATTAATGGCGCGCGGTGGCCGGCGAGCGGTGCGGGGCCGCGCTCCGGACACCTGYGCCGCGGGTGGATTAATGGCACCGCGGACATCGGGAGTTATCGAGCGAGCCTCTCGCGCCACGCGCTCCCTTTTCCCATTAAACGGCTGTCGCCGTCGGCCGAGGCCGCAGCGGGAGCGCGCGGCTCCGTGTGCTCGGTGTGCGCTGCAGGGACGGCACGGAGCGCGGCGGGAAGGCTGGTGGGAGATGCTCCAGGTGTCCTGCCCCGCGCCGGGCTCTGCACCGCGCACCAAGCGCAGCCGCTCCGGGCCCTGGACCGCTGCGAGGGGGAAAAGCTCCCCCGAGGAGCCAGTTGCAGCCGTTAATCACCCGCGCTGCTAAAAATTTTTGCCTTGTGTGTCATTGCAAGCTGCCTGGCTCTGCTTTCCAGCTGTGGGCTCTCGTTCTGCCTCTCCACGAGGCTGAAGAGCCCTCCTCGCTCCGAGGTACCGTCGCCTGCAACGGCCCTTACTGCTGGAAATGAGGTCCCTGCTCAGTCTCCTCCCTAAAGGCTCCGCATCCCGCAGCGGGCGCTTTGCCCAGCCTTTACCTGCCGCTCCCTCTGCTTTCCAGCTCTCCCCGACCTTGCAGTGCTGCTTGGAGGAGCTGAGGGGGCCAGGCTGGTGCCGAGGCTCTCGGGGCAGCGAGGCCGCCCGGTCGCTCCCGCYGCCCCATCCCGTGCCGCTTCCCAGCGCTTGGCTCCGCCGGCTCCCCGGGCACTGCCCCGCACCCTGGCAGCAAGCGCCGCACGGTCCGGAGCGCACAGGCCATAAATCCCAGCCAGCTCGCTCAATAAAAAGCGTTCGCTCAGACAATTTTACGGGGAAGATGGATTCCCGGCAGGTGAGGGGGTGCCGGCCGGGCGGCCGCGTGCCGGCACGGGGGAGAGCTGAGTTATGGAGGCAGCGGGAGCAGCCGGCGCTGCCCGGGACCGTCTCCCTCCAGGACCATCTCCCTCCAGGATGTGCAGGGAGCGTCGCACGCTGGAGCGCCGCTCGTGCTCACAGCAATCGTGCTGCTCTCGCTGCAGCAGGGCCCGGCCGGCCCCGCGCGCGATAGCATCCAGGCGGGCGGCAGGAAATGAAGGCTGCCTGTCACGGCTCGCCGCTCGCCACAGATCTAGCCCGGCTGGAGCCCGACACAGGCGGCGGAAGCCGGCCCTTTCCCACCGCGAGCGGCGGCTCCGCTCGGAGCAGAGGCGGCGCCCGTGGGCACGGGGCTCCCCGCAGCCCCCCGMGTCCCTCGCCGCCCCCAGGAGCCCCGTGCACACCGGGCGCTCACCAAGGTGATGGAGAATCCGCCTGGCCAGCAAGGAGATTGCTCCAGTGCTTAATTASCCTCTGCGTTAAAAATGGGAGCCTTATTGCCAGCCCGAATCGGCCCGGCTTCAGCTTCCAGCCAATGGATCTCGTTATGGTTTTTTTTTTTCCCTGCTAGATTAAAGAGCCGTCTGCTATCAGAAATCTCGTCTCCATATAGAACGTCATAAATCTTGCTCTCCACCGGCTCGCCGCAGCGCATAAGGATTTGGTTATGACGAAGAACACTACTAATTTTCTTGTCCTTTTTGTTAATTAACAACAGCTCCATCTCCCCAYGACTCTGCTCCCGCCCGGAGCAGCCTTGGCTGTGCCTGCAGCTCCGGAGCCAGGGGTTGGAAAACCGGAGAGCAGCATGAGGAGCCAAGGGGACAAGAGATCGAGGGGACAACAGGCTGCCCCTCGGCAGCAGGGCTGGGGAGTCAATGCCCTCTCCTCACAGCAGCTGCCACCGGGCCCCATCCGCCGCTCGAACCAACTTCCAGCCCGGACGAGRCGTTGGTTTCAGCAATATTAGCGCTGTTTGTACTCTCGGCACATTAATGTCATGCCCAACACTACCAGTTTTACGCTGCTGATTTAAATCAGCAATAAGGGAGCACCAGGCAGGAGCGGCAGCGAGCAGCGTGGCTCTGAGCACCGGGCGCCTCGGGCGGCACACGGAACCCCTCGGCACATCCTGCTCGGCGGCTGCCGTTTATCGCTGCCGTTTAGGGCTGCGAGCGACTTTTCCTGAGCGTGCTTTGTGCACCACAAAGGGAAGAGCCGCCCCAGCTTGCACAGCCGGCACCAAGGACGGCACAAAGGGGAGGGRTTCCCCTCATGTCCCCCCAGGCCCTTAGGTGCCCCAGCCCGAGCAGGGGTCATGGGACGCTGCTCCCCCCGCGCTCCCGGTCCTGCAGGCTCCGCACGTACCTCTTGCAGCAGACGGGGGTCCAGGCAGTCGCCGTCGTCGTTGAACAGCGCATCCCAGCTCTCCTCGGCTCCCGGGCTGCCGCTGGGCTTCGGAGAGCTGCCGAGCCCGGTGC